AAGAGCTTTAAGAAATTGAATTATGACAGATCAATGCTGACAACATTTTTACATAATCTTGTTAGAAATTATATGAAAAACATTTTAGTTAAAGCTAAGAGAAATGCACTATTTAACATAGATTTTGCAGGACTCTACACTGTTAATGAGCATTCACAGTTCTTTTTTGCTTTGCTTTATTTTTCAAATCAATTGTTTTCTACACAAAATAATCAACTAAGTTCCTTTAAAAATTTCCTAAGTAAACTGTTATCAGACAGAAAAGAGTAAAGCCGAATAACTACATTTCTCTAAAAATAGTTCAATTTTCAATTCATTCAGTTTGTGAATCAGCTTGATAGATCATAAGCCATTTATCAGTTTTAAATATTTCATTGAATATTTTATTGAATATCATGCAAATGTTAATTCCATCTCATTTGTTCCATTGTATATTACTTCATTGATATTTTTCTTTTGTTTGTTTCTTCTTTTTTTTTTTTTTTTGGCAAAACAAATGCTTAGTGTTATTCATACATTATTACTTCAACTACTTTAAATGATATACCAAATGACTATCAATGGGATCAATGTCCCAAAGTTCCAAAGCCAGATTTTTTCTTTTCTTATGACATGCTAGGGTTCTTATAGCTCTGTTGATTTTGCACATCAGTATTTAGTTCTTGCTTTGTTAAATGGGTACACATGAAAGAGATTGGTTCCTATCTGATCTCTCTTTCTTCTCTCTCTCTCTCTTTCACTTTCTCTCTCTCTTTCACTTTCTCTCTCTCTCTCTCTCTCTATATATATATGTATATATATATTCATAAGCTATATATTTGGAAAATTGCTGCTGAATAATTTTTCTTGAGAAAGCCAAGTGTTGCTATGATGATATGCTAATCACATCTATAAGCAAAGCTTCACTACAGGCCAAGCAGCAATTTATAGAGCTGGCTTTCTAAACTGTTTAAATATTACTGGGTTTCAATATACAAAGAATTCTTTTTTATTTTTTATTTTGTATAGGAAAAAATCTATATAAGTGAAATTATCAAATTTTAATTTTTAGGCCTACAAAATGACAATGTGAGGCATGATTTTTTTTTTTTTTAACAATAAGGGAAACAAGGAAAAGAATCTCAGAGAAATCATGCTGTGCTTCTTAAGGTAATAAAATTGAGTCAGTTGTCTTTCTCAAGGAAAATAGTGTTAGTGTATACTATAATCTGAGTTGGTTATAGCCTTTCTTATAGAGTTCTCCATGACCTTTGTAGCAAACATAAACTAAATTTATGACCTTGTTACAGAATATATAATTTTACAAAATGCCTTAGGCATTAAATATTTATAAAAGGAATTATGAGTTAAAATATAAACTTTTTAAATTTAGTTAAAATGTCAATGCCTGGCTCTTTTTCCTACTTATATAATTCAACAGAGAATATTTGATTCTTATAACCATTACTGCTTTTTATCTGTGATGAAAGCTTTACTACTTCTTTGCTGTGCTCAAGAGAAAAGCAGCAAAAGAAGCAACTGCTTGTTCCTTCACAGAGCTGCAGCAAAGCTCTCTGTTGAGCAATGGTGATAATGAAGGTGTATTATTGACTTATTGAAGATAATCGTGAGAACATTTTAACATTACTTGCCTTATAAGTTAGAAAAGATGTGGATATCATTCTTTGTAAATAATGATTTTTACAATTTTTTTTCCTTCATAATTTTCCCAATCACTCATTTCACAAAATCCTGAATATGCATTTAGTTGTCATGGCACATTACTGCAATGAGGGTTCCCATTTCAAAACAAAGTTTAATTATATGTGAGAACAAGATGAAATATCTGAGTAAGTGGTTATTTAAATGTGATTTTTTTTTCTGGAAAATAAATGAAGAACATAAAAATAAATTCAGTTGTGAACCTCTTTTATTACCAGCCTCTTAAAATTTTACCCATATTTCTGTAAAACTTCACTGCGCATTTAGGGTGGGCAAAATGGGGAAAAGGTACGGCACCGTGCAAGGACTTGGGCGTGGGACAAGGTCCAGCTCTATAATTTAAACTATAGACTTGAGCAGGTTACCCAGGATTCTTCATTTCTTTATCTTAAAAAAAAAAGAAAAAAAGGAGTTGATTAATAATGTCCCCTTATCATACATAGTAGTCAATAAACCTTTCCTGTTCTTATTTTTCCTGTTCTTATTTTTTAAATATGAATTGAGTTTGGCCAGAAAACTGTAATGCTCTTTCTCTGACACTATCATAAATAACCCTTATGGACTCTATTGTTACTCAAAATGTATCGCTATTGTCAGCTAATGCTAAATGTACTGAGCAGAGACATTATCCTATTTCTGCCTCCAATAATTGCCTACTATATGAGTGTCCCTTCTGAGTTTGGTTTTGTTTGCTTTGGGCTGGGGGAATGGCTCTGGAGTTGGAAGGGGGATAGTTATTAAGAAGGAAAGTCCTGTTAGTTATGTCAGGTAGGTCCCCAACCCCAAACAGCCTCCACTTCAAAGCTTCTTAAACTTTTAGGGGCTGCAAAGAGTGGCATGAAGGAGCCTGCTTGTTAAGCACAGGAGATAAGCCAATGACTTTGAGTGGGCCCTGAGAATATTGTTTAATGTATTAAAAATCTCAAGTTTCTAAATGTAAAGGGACAGACCTGTTGGGAAGACTAATTAAAGTTAAAACCGTTTGCCAATATCTGGTAAATGTAAGCTCTCGAGAAATTATCCCCATTATCAACCATCCGTGCCTTGGAAGGTGGTGGTGGAAAGGGTCCGAGGAAGGGAAGGGCTTGCTTTACTTCCTCCCTGTCCTAGGAGACCACAGCATTCCCCACTCCTGCCCATGACATCTGCGGGCAAAGGAACTGGATGAGGAGTCTTCGGGGGGCTGCATCTTGAGTTTCAGATATCCTCTTCTTCGCTGTAGAATGAACCAGTTCCCCTCCAGCTCGCGGCCACCCCGGGGTGCAGCAGGGCTCAGGACGGCCCCCTCTGGACAGTGATGATCCTTTACATTCTTAGGGAGGCTCAGAGGACCAGGGGCGGGCCCAGGGCTCTGTTTGAGGAGGTCACCCTGGAAACAGGCCGCGGGATCCGAGGATAGTGTGAGGGCGGTAGCCCTCAGAGGGAGACCGGGAAGACAAGAGCCTCGCCTGGCCCGGAGTCCCTGCAGCAGACGAGCCCGAGTCTGAGAGGCCCTCAGCAGAGCCGCGGCCGCAGCTCCAGCCCTGTTGTAGGTAAGTGCGACTCTGCGCAGCGCGTCTGGGTGTGAGCGGAGAAGGAAACCTGCATGTTCGAGCACTGCAAGGACTGAGGAGGGAGGGCACTGTGTTGAGAGAAGGCCTGCCTGCCATGGCCACGACCTCTCTGACGGCTTACTCCTTCTCTCCTCAACAAATAAAAGAAAGCGGCCCCAAATTTGGGAGCTGGAAGTAGGTCCTGGCCTTTGGTCACCCTCGCACCTGAGCTGGCCAGCCTGGTTCTGCTCCTGGAGCAGGATGAGTCCTGAACAGTCATCCTGAGGCCGAGCCGGGGCCTCAGCCCCTCCAGACCTCCAGGTTCCGACTCTGGCCTTCTGGGCAGCTGTGAAAACAGGTGAGCAGACTGAGGTCCGGCCATGTCACTTCAGATCAGAACCTGAATAACCCATTTAATCAGTCTCAGTTTGTCCTATCCACACACTCACACAGACACACTCATATACACAGTCACACACAGACACATTCATATACACAGTCACACACAGACATTCTCATACACATAAGCACACACACAGATGTTCATACTCATTCACACAAACACACACATACACACCAGCATACACTCACAGAGATGCTCACACACACAGATTCACACACACATTCAGTACATAGACACACCTCACACTAAGGTGCACACACGCTCACAAAGGCTCACACTCACACAGGTATTCAGATGACCATTCACGCACAGAGATGCACACACAGAGATGCTCACATGTACACACACAGACACATTCATGTACACAGACACTCATACGCACAGCCTCACAGTTATGGGGACATGCACTCACACACAGAGACCCACCCACAGAGAGACAAACTCTCACGGGCACACACAGACATTCACACTCATGTACACATTCACATAGGCACACAATCACACACATGTGCGCACATACATACACCACTGCTTCCCTTCTCAACACACAATACTTCTGCCACATCTGTGTGCCCTTCAGTACCCTTTGTCTCTCTCTGCCCTGACACTGATCACACGGTTTTAGGTTGTGTTCTTATCTCAACTGCCAGTTCCTTGAAGGCAGGGTCTCTGTTTTAGTTCTGCTTTAGAGCCTAGCACAATGTCTCCTTGTTAGGTCTCTCAGATTTATAGATTATAAAATGATTTAAGTGAGTATCTAAATTGGTATGTAGGCAATAGGGCAATAGAGTTACAGTCTAAGTTATGGGAAGTCTATTCCTACCAGCTTTTGAACAAACATTTGTAAGAAGGAGGTAGGTTTTTCAATAAATTACTTAGTTAAATGTCAAGTTCTGTTTGATCTTTACAAAGTAAATCACAATAGCTTGAAAAAAATATTCTTTGGAGAAGGCAGTTAATTTTAATTTTTAAAGTAACAGTAACAACAACAAACAGCAAACTTTCATCAAGAATAAATGGGAAGGCAATAAAAACTATTGCTTTCATGTGGGATAATATCTTTCTTCTACACATGGCTATCTTTTCTCAGTGACTTTAACCACTTCTGCAGTTAAGCATTTTTGCTACAGTTTAATATCTGCTTATGTATAGTAAGTATGCTATTGCATAACTAAAAGTTATCATAGTTACCATATTTCTGGTAATACTAACCAGAATAAAAACATATACTAAAATCACTCTTAAGGAAACCCCATTTCCTCAATCAAAAATTGGTAGAAAAAATAGAACAAATCTCTGTGTTATACTAACTTAAATGTTTTCAGATTTCTCATCTGATTTACGAAAGTTTTCCTCCATAGGTTATGATAATGTCAGACATTGCTAAAAACAAAATGGCTCATTCATTGAAGAAAAGGGGAAGTGTGTCTTCTCTAAACAGTCATGAACTCCGATGGAAGGAACTTCATGGGCGCATCAAAGAGTGAGTAACTAATTTCTAATAACAAATGCAGTTATTGAATAAACAGGTTCATGTTTATCAGGAGAAAAAATATTTATTTTGGGACATAAAAAGAGAAAATGGGCATGTGCAAGGTTCACATTTTTTAAAAGAAAGAGAAAGAGAGTGAGAAAACATAAGTGATATGTCCCAGCAGCATTTTTTACTATTTCAAAAACTACCCCCCAAAAATCATCTTCTCAAAAGAAACACCACATACAATGTAGACCGGCTTCTTCTTACATGTCTTCTGAATTCTTCTCCACGATATTACATAAATACATAGTTTTTGCATTTCTGTAATCAATATATACATATACAATGCATTTAGAATTATTTTATACAAATTTTATAATGCATTTTTACAGCGATTGTTCATGTCCTTTTAATTGGCTGCATAATACTTTGTCAGTTTATAATTCTAGGTTAGATAACATTTCCCCAATTGTCGGGCATTTTAAGTTTGTTTCTTTTTGTTGTTGTTGTTGTTTTTTTCACTATGTAATGTCTCTGCTTGTTTTCATTCCAGAAGTACAGTTAGCGGTTCAAAGGAGTACACTTTTGTGGCTCTTGCTGCCATGTTGCCTTTGCTTTCCTAAAGAGGTGAATGAATATTTAATATTTTCACAGCACTTCTTTTTGACCGCCATTGGGAAGAAAATAAAACAAATTATTAATACAGAGGTCAATTAACTTATATAATAGACTTCTCTTAACAGTTTCCACAGGCTTGATATATTAATAAGGCTGTGGTATATTAATCATTGTGGCTGGGAAGTAGGATCTGGTATGTCCTATGGAACAGAGACCTGAAGAACTGGAATAGAATAAATTAAATTAGCATTCTGAAACCATATCTCCTACTCTCAGAGTGTAGCAATGTACTTATTTCCAATCCTGGATGTTTGTGGATTACAAGTACAATCCCCCTCTTTTTACAGATGGGAAATACAAAGGAGTAGCAAACGCCATGTATGTCAGAAGTAAAGCTGGGAGAATTAATCTCTGTATCTTTTGCTTCTGACTCTCAGTCATTCGGGCTGCTATTTCAAATATTTAAGTGTAAGAGTTCTTTTGAAAATTATCTTAAAATAATTGTTAGCTTAAATTGAACCTTTTTCAAGAAAATATTTATAATAATCTTACATAAATCATGTTCCCATGATTTTTAAAAAACTGCTCTAATCCAAAAACTAACCTATCATCCCTATTTACATAATTTTCATTTACCTCTTTCCTTTCAAAGCAAATTAGAAAATCATATAGAATCAGAATGTGGCCAAATTTGAGGCATGAGAGACCGCCCCTCTTTTTATTGATGAAGTATAAATACAAACCGAAAGTAATAAGAATACAAAAATAGTTTTATGAATACTTTAGAACATAATTTTTACTAATATATTTAAGTGATAATTATTTTGACATATTTTAAAGTAGAAATTTGGACTCTCAAATAAAACATTGAGAATGGATCCTTTATTTGCACTTTTTCTTAAAATAGCAAATGAACAGCGTCTATATACTCTTGGCAATGCAGAGGCCATTTGAGAGGTTGCCTCCCCAACTCTAACTCCTGCTTACTTTCTTTTGCCTTCATCACTGTCCTAGACCAGACTGCATGAGTGATTCTCCTTCGTGAAATCAGTCTTCAGCTAGTAGAAAAGTCCTGAAAGCTTAGCAGCTATCAAATGCAAGCGTTGTTGTGTAATTGTAATGTTTTATGGAAAAGCATATATCTTCCATTTGAAATTTATTTCAAAACATTTTTTGAATAGATCAATCTTAAAGTATAACCCTAAAGTCTATTGAGGACCTAATATACTATCTCCGTTAATCTCCCCATCATTAACCCTGCTAGGTGGACATCATTCTTGCGATTTAACTGTGAAACAACTAAGGCTTACAAGTCAAGTAATGATTTAATGACTAGGATACAATCCTAAATCATGAGTATGGCACATAGAGTCTACAGACCCTTGTCTACTTGTCAAGCGCCATCTTCCTCACTATACTGCTAGCAGCTACTCTCTGGCAATACTCAACTTCCATATTTATAATCCCTCAGTGCTCTATCTTGTCTCCAGCCATTGCCTTATGTTACTTTCTTATGGGGCACTCTTATCTGGAATACTACTTATACTCTGGCTTCCTTCTTCTCCACCTTCAGAATTTAGCTCCATCACCATTTCTCCAGGGAAGTTCTCTCTAACAACCCAATTACAACCACTACCACCTCTGGACTGGGTTGGACACTTCCATTCTGCTCCCGTTCTACATGGTACCATATTTGACTGGGTTTTTTTTTTTTTTTTTTTGTCAACTAATTGTCTTCAGAGCAGTAAATACACAGATAAAGAGGGCAGAAAAGAATAGAATGTAGATCTGCTTGGAAAGCAGCTTCTTGGATATGGTATAAGATGAGCGTAGATTCTACCCTACAACCTTGGTTTCTGTGTCTGCAGTCTTCTACAGTAGTAACTAATGCTTAACATTGATCCCTGGACAAATGGATATCTAAAGTACCTTTTGAATTGTGAAAAGAAGATTGAATTTATATTGGATATAATTATCGTTAACTGTTTTTAGAGTTGAGTATTTTTATTTAAATTATATTTTCATTATAATGTAATTTTTATGTTTTATTTTTTTAAAGAAACATTTTAAGCTGGATCTTACTACCTCAATATCATAACTGTTAGCATGTTGGCATATTTTTTTCTATACAAACCTACCTGGTTGTCATCATACTACTCTGTAATTTTTAATGCTGTTAGTATTCCACTTAAACAATTCATAGCAATAAGGGTGATAATAGCTAACATTTATTGAGCCCTCACTATGACCTCATTGAAGTCTCTTAAAAGCTCTATAACAGGAGATGGCAAACTATGGTCCAAAGGCCGAGTCCAACCTGCCACTTTTTTTTGTACAGTTTCCCTACCCGGGTATGTATGGTTATGACATGGTTGAGAAAAAAATGAAAAAGTAATATTTTTTGTCATGTGAAAATTATAAGAAACCCAAATTTCAGCATCCATAAATAAGTTTGTTTGAAACACATCCATGCCTATTTATATATGTATTGCCTCTGGCTGCTTTCATGCTAGAACTACAGAGCAGTTGCAGTAGAAACCAGAGGTCCCACGAAGCCAAAAAAAAATTGCTACATGGAATTTTACAGAAATGTTTGCCAATCTTTGCTCTATGAGATAGATGCTATTATCATCTCCATTTTACAAATGAAGAATCGGATACTTAGAGAGGCTGAGCTTCCAAATCTATAGAATTAGGAAGCAGCAAAATGGGCTTTTTGTTTGTAGTCGAGTATTCTCATTTTCTTAAAATTGGCTATCTATGAGTAACTTGCATTAACAAAACTCTTCTTTTTATTCACCAGAACCTTCTGTTTCCCATGGGTAACAGTAGGTATTTACAATGACATCTTTCTTGTTGGAAGCTCAGCCTTTGGCAGCCTTTGAATGTATTTGAACAGATGTGCTACTCTCATGTTCTTCAAATGGAAATAGAAACCTGAGGTTAAGTTACTTTTTCAGGATAATGTGATATAACATCCAGGCTTATTATTTCTGCGTCTAACAGTTCAACTAGTAGGCCTTGCCTAAAGTTGGTGATTAAAGGGTTTCTCTTTTGCCTCAAATCAAAATTACAGTGACATCATGTTATGGGAACTTTAAGTATGGATCTCACAGCTCTCTACTTGAACCCGCTGGGGGCATCTAACCCACTATAATCTTTCATTTACTCATTTAATCAAAGTTTATTGAGCTTCTACTCTGTGCAAATTATTGCACCACATGTTAGACATATAAAGGTGACTAACTGTAGGGTTCTACTCTAGAGAAGCTCATTTTTCAAGTAAACTAAAAGCCACTTAATAATTTTTTTCCCGCAAAAAAAACTCAGAAAAGATTGTATTTATTACTTCATTTGAAATAAATATGTATTGACCACTGAGTATATTCCAGGCACTTTGCTAGTTGGTGAACCACATAGAAAAAAGCCCTGCTCTCACGGTTGATAATCTGGTAGGAAAGGCAGCAAACAAGTAATTTTAAATATGCTGGATTTATTCTATGATTTCAATCTATACAAGTGTGAGCTGCATATGTGTAGTTAAAAATGATATTGTCTAGCCTGTTTCCTCATTTCGATAAGTTTTATTGCCATCTAAATCAAACTAAAACTCCCAACAAGATCTGAATTAGATACAGCTTCTCCACCAAAGACAGAGAGAAGCTTAAGAAAAATGAAATGGCCATATTCGAAAATTAAACCACAATAATAATTAATACAATATTGTACTTGTTAGATCATTAAACCATCTCACATACAATATCCATCTGATTCTCATGAAAACCCTGTGGCTTAAGTAGAGAAGATACTTTTATAATCTCCATTTATCTCATTTATTATTTATCTCAGGAGCAGATTTGAGGTGAAAGTATTCTCATTTCATAGCACATTGTCATCAGCAATATGGGCAAGAGCCCTCATATTTACCTAATTTTCCCTCTTCTCCATTCTCACTCCTACTCTCATCTCCCAGTGGGCATCCACTCTAATACACACAATATTACACATACTACAAGAATATACATATTTAAATACTGTATAAAATATATTTTTTTATTTTTGCGTATTATCCTGTTTTGACCTCTTAAAAAAACCTTTCTGAATGGGAAGAAATTGCTCCCCTCCCAAGTTCGAACTTCTTAAAGATTGCCAAGATCTCTGCAGGGCACATGCCTTACGCCTTTGCTATGCAAACTAACCCACTCAGAGCAGGCAGGCCTCTGTCAGCCCTCCCACACCCAACCCTAAACCCCAGGAGGCAGTATTCCTCTGTCGTAATCATTCCAGACAGAGCCAAGTACCAGCCATCTAAGGACCTCTCCTACAGTTTAGAGCTCACAGAAATTATTCAGACCAGCCAGTCCTGAACTGTTTTCCCTGGCCCGCTT